TCGCGGGGCCAGCCTCTGTTGGCGGCAGTTGGCTCGGGCATCAGCCCTTGTTCACAGTGGACAGGGCTGTCCACTGTGAACAGGGGCTGCTGGTGGCTCTTATGACATTTAAAATGCAGAGCCCCCCAGTATGGGTGGTTCCCGGAGCTGGCACAAGCTAGAACTGCTCAGTCCTGGCTCAAGCTGGCTCCTGGAGCTACCCCCTCTATGGCTTTGCAGAACAGTCCTATCAACTAATTGTATAGTTGATACAAGTTGTATCGATTATATTATTAGCTAGTGCATGCATCTGACAAAGTGGGTCTTTGCCCACCAAAGCTTATGCTTCAATAAATCTGTTAGTCTATAAGGTGCCACAGGACTCCTCATCACTTTTGCAGATTCAGACTAACATGCCTACCTCTCTAATACATGATTAGCTAGGTAACCGCAGTTTTAACATCCTTAGTTAGCAAGTCTTCTCTCAAAGATTCACATCAGCTTATGGATATCAATAAGTTGTGTTCAGTTACTTGGATATATGACAGCCAGCACCTTTGAAGATGGAGTTTGGCACATACAATCACACTGTGTCCAGGGCACATACAATCAGACTCTTAATACTCCACACAAACACAACTTGAACAAGTTAGTGTCAGATCCTCACTAGGTCTCAGACTCTCTCAAATGATGGCGGGATCTAGACGATGTTTGCATAGGGTTTCCAGTTGTTCAGCCACCCCTCTGTTACCATAACAGTTCACACATGTGTGATGAACTGGGACCATGCACTTGGCGACCCTCACTATCCGGGCCAAATGCTCTTCCCAACAGACATATCAACGTGAAACTCAGGAATCCCTGCATCCATTTCCTGACTTTAAACAGGAAAAGACCATAGTCTCATGGACAGTGTAGCTTGCATGCGCTACATCAACCAAGAGCGGTGGGCCAGGTTCTCTTCCCTTTGTGCTGAAACAGTAAAGCTCTGGAACTGGGGCATAGCCAATTGAATCGTTATTTCAGCATCTTTCCTTCTGGGGATGCAAACAGATTAGTGGACAACCCCAGCAGGCATTTTTTCCAAGTCTATAAATGGAAGTGGGATCCTCAGCTTTTCAATCAAATTTTTTGAAAGTGAAAGTTCCAAAAATAAACCTTTTTTTCCCCCTGTGACCAAGCACAAACACTTTTGCTTAATGGAAGGACTGATTCCTCTCTCTTTGGGAGTTGTCTTCCTTATTCCATGGATAAGAGGCCATCTATATATGTGCCCCCTCTCCCAAACTCCTGATTCTGAAACGGTTCAGGAAGATCAAGCATGACAAAGCCAGAATTCCATTATTAATCCTAATGTGGCTCAGACAGCTATGGCACTCTTACCTGATTCATCTCGTCTTCTATTAAATGTTCAAGTTCTCATGCATGCCTTGTCTGCATTTTCAGAATGCTGGCTGCATTCTTCTCAACCTCAAGATATTTCATATGAAAGCTTGGCTTGTCAGTGGCTAATGAGACTAGTCAGCTTGATCTAAGGAAGTACAACAGGTATTATTGGACAGGAGGAAAGATCCAATGAAATTCACTTATCTCCACAAGTGGAAAATAATGCATATGGTGTGTCCAGAAAAATGTGTCTGTTCATTCTTCCCTTTGGAGTGTCCTCGATTACCTCCTAGTGCTGAAAAAAATCGAATTGTCTGTGAACTCTGCCAGTGTCCTCTCGGCAGCTGTAACAGCCCTTCTTTCAGCGGTTGAGGGATTCTCACTCTTTGCCCATCCTACTATGGTAAAGGTGCTGAGAGGCTTGTGAAACTTTTTCCCCAAAGTTAAGAAACCCATTCCTGTCAGGGGTGTGAAAACAGTACTTTGATGCACTATGGGCCCCCCATTTGAGCCATCCTCTTCCCTAATAAATGTATCTCAGAAGATGTGTCTTTGGTAATTATCACCCCTGTTTGTGGGATTGGGGAATAGGGATTCTCCATATATAGTATTTTTCAAGGACAGAGTTTTGTGACATCCACACCCCTGGTTTTTACTGAAGGCGTCATATGAGCTTCACATCAACCCCCCCAAGTCTCATCAGTCCAAAGAGATCTTTTTTACACACTCTGGATGTTAAAGGGCATTAGCGTTTTATTTGGAAAGAACTAAGTAATTTAAGAAGTCACGCAGACTGTTCATGACTATTGCGAATAGATCCAAAGAATCAATGATTTCCACCAGAGACTCTCCAGGTGGATTTCTGATTGTATCTTTTCATGCTGTAACTTGTCAGATACGCAGCTGTTTCTAGGGTGTTGGCCTGTTCTGTAAGATCTGTAGCTACTTCTATGACATTACTCAAGAACGATCCTGTTCTGTTCATTTGTAAGGCTGCCATTTTGGTCCTCTAGACGTACCTTTTCAAGCATTATGCAGTGGTCCAGTCTCCTAGGTCAGGTGCTGCCTTGGGAAATGCTGTGTTGTATTCAGTCTTGGACTTGATTCCAAAGCTCCCACTCCAGTTGGGGGTACTGCTTGGTAGTCACTTGCAGTGAAGCACCCCCGGGGTGGCAGTACTTGAAGATGAACAGTTAATGCTCTTTGTGCAGTAACTGACGTTCTTCACTGTGTGTGTCTCTAGGGGTGCTACGTTACCTGCCCTCATTTCCTCTGCTTCAGCGTTTCCTTTGGGGGCTTGGCAGTAGAGAAGGCTTGCCCGCATAGCAGCAGTTAAACACCCATGGCTAGTCTGTGCCAGCTCATTTGAACTTGGGCTAAGCGGTTGTTCAGTTGCAGTACAGGTGTTTGGGTTTGGGCTGTAGCCCATGCTCAGGCCTGCCAACAGAGAGGGGCAGCTACCCCAGGGCCCAGCGATTTAAAAGGGTCCAGGATTCCCAGCCACCAGTACAGCCGCAACAGCAGTGGCCGGAGCCTGAGGTTCTTTAAATCGCCATCGGAGCACCGCCTGGCCCTTCCCCCATCTTTCTTCCTGAGGCCCTGCCCCTTCTGGGGGCCTGGAGCCACCCTCCATCCTTGCCCAGGGCCTGGTGAAGTCTGTTTGCTGCCCTGCATGTGCTCTAGGACCCTCCCTGCAAGCAGGCATCTGATTGCAGTGCAGACATACCCCTTGTGCCTAACTAGGATTACAAGGTCCTCAGGACTCTAGCGTGTCACTTTTTTTTGGTAAAGTTCCATGCTCTCCATGGTGCTGCATAGATAATAGTAATAACAGTCATTTTAAATTAAGTGTTTCCTGGATGAGGGATTTTTAAACAGAGGGAGAACTAGAGATTAATACCAGTGAGAAAATGACCTACAATTAGCTATGCTTGGGTGGAGCAATCAGCTTCCTGAAATTCCTGCTTGTGTATTATGCAGTAATAGCTGTTTGCTGCCGTTTTCCCTGGGGCATGAAGTGCCAGCAGGACAGTTGATCCATTGTGAAATGCCATCTGCAGTGGATCAGACAAGTGCCATTGTTACACTGCTGCTCTAGCTAGATCTAGCAGTTGCCAGATTCAACAGCTGTGATGGTTATACAGCTGCACTGTGTTGTCTCTGTACCCACTTAGAACAGGAAAAGTACCATGTAGCTCCTTTATGTTATGGGTTATATTTTCAGCCTTTTATTGCACATATGTAATGTCTGTGTCTAGGCAAGTCATTGATAGATCAATGTAATGAGTGAAAACTAAATTTGTATATCATTCAAGTGCTGATATATTTCAGTTGAACATGTGTGGTGTCTTTATAGACTACTTTAGATTAATAATGCTTGGTATAGGGAAGAGAGAAAGTATACATTTTCAATGTTGTCAGACTTCTAAAAGAGGTGCATGCTCATTTCCATATATGTATATGTATGTGTAATAAATATGTTTGTGTGATTATGGGAAAAATGGTTTTGGGGTGGAGTGGTGAAGAGTCATTCATCTAAAACACCTCAGTAATACAAAATGAACTGACTTGCTAAAGGAGAACAGGTCAGTTTGAAAAAAAAAATTACATTTGTTGAAATTGTTTGGGGCATAGGGTTAGACCAGCTCTTGAAAGCACAAGGCAGCTGCATCATGTCAAACAGCTGGCTAACAGATGGGAATGTTTGTAGTTGGAAGAACATATTCTCTTAGAAGGTATTTTGCATGGTGAATGTCATGTGACAACTTCTAATGTATTATATTGTGGACACCGCTTAGCTCTGCTCCATGTTTATTCCGTTGTCAGCTCTGTCACAAGTTAACATTTTCTGGGACATTTACATGATAGTGACTAAAATTATCTTCTTGACAGTCATGAGGAACTGTACTCCAGTCGGCCCTATGGAGCACTAGATTCTGGCTTCAATAGCGTGGACAGCGGAGACAAAAGGTGGTCAGGGAATGAAGTAAGTATAGTTGCTTTATTTTTGTTGGGTGGAACATTTGTATAGGAAACAAATAATAAAAGGGATAGATTTGGAAGACTACTCAGTGAGCAATGTTATGTATAATAAATATATAATGTCCGTAGTTCACAGATGACTTGATTTATATTTTAGAAAAAGAATTAGCACCATTTTGTATTAAATTGATCTTTGGTTCTTTTACTAATATTTTTTAGTAAAAAGTTTTGAAAATTTAAACAAAATTGTAAACCCAAGAGAAAATCTAGAACAGTTGGTAGAAATTAATTAATGTAAAAAATTGATAAGAAAAAATTACGAGAAGTTGAGCTCTGCATTGTATTATATTAGCATTTCTATCTTTATCCAATATTCAAGAGCTTCTCTTTCATTAAAATAACATTGGATAAACACAGGTTTTCCAGATGAGATTTTATATGTAGCTCATTCAAATGGCCAAATAGATTGTTTACTATTTAGAAATAGAGCAAGGTCAGATCTTGAAGGAAGGAAGAAACAGGAGCCACCTTCTACTATCTTCTTGAGGGAGCTGGCTGCAACCCAGGCTTGGGGTGTTCTTGCGAACTGTGCACCCAGGCTAGTGTTTACAAGGGCCTTCAAAATCCAGCCTGGGATGATTTTAGCATATGTATTCATGTCAGAGAAAAAATAAATTAAAACTGTAGACTCTTCAGGAAGAGAGGTCCTAAACCAACCATACTTAAAAACAGCACATTTCAGTCATGTCCCTTTTAAATTAATAGTTTTAGGGAGCAAAAATCAGCAGAACTGGTAGAGAGGAGACTCAAGTTAGAAAACTAACTGAAAGATGATGCCCAGGATATGAGAGGATTTTTTTTTCCTGTTTTGTAAAGCCTACAGATGAGTTCTCAGACCTCCCTCTGCGAGTGGCCGAGATCACTAAAGAGCAGAGACTGCGAAGAGAGAGTCAGTACCAGGAGAACCGAGGGAGCACAGTTGTAACTAATGGTGGAGGTAAATAGCAGTCTTTGATAACTAATTATTCAGGTGCTTGTCCTATCTGAAGCTCCAACATGTATATTTGGTAATTTGCTGTTTTAACTGAAAGAAGTGGTGGGGACTCAATATAGTTATAATTACACACAAATTACATTTAAAGAACATTATTAGGGCTGAAAAATCAAGCCGTGAAAAGTTAGAAAAGAGCAGATGGTAAGGTTGCTTAATTCAGCCCCTTTCTGGGTATGCATTATGATCCATGGGCATATACTGCTTTCTCCACAATATTGACATATTCAGGACTCATCAGCAGGGTTAGAACCTTAGATCTGGCCCACAGGCCTCTGCTACTTGAGCTGAAAGAGTAACTGATAACTGAGGTAGGTTGTCATCCCTGGCGAGGACCAGCGCTAGAGGGGATTGGGACACTTTACAGATATTTGCTGACAGCGGAGGAATGATGAGATTCAGGAATCTTGGATTCCATTCCAGACTCTGGAGGGGAGTGTTTTCTGATGGGCACAGAGCCTTTTGGGCCTCACCTTCCCCTTCTCCTTCAGTAGGACTCCTGCCCTCTCCCCTGCAGTCTGTGCCTATCCTAGACCTGTCTCTTCTCCACTCCTGGCTTCATGTGCCGGTTCTATTCTCTTTGCCTACTCAGTTGCCACTCCTCAGACTTGTTAATCCTGGGCTCCTTTTCTCTGATTTCTCTCTGTCTTCTGTCTTTGCCTCCAGTATTCTATCCCCACCAATGTTCCCCAGTTCAGGGCCCAAAGGCCTTTGTCTGATCTCAGTCTTTTTCCAATCTCCTTTCCCAGCTGGTAACAATCTTCTTCTCCCAGTTTTTTTCCCCATCCACTAGTCCCAGTTTCTTCCCTATCCCCTACCCGCAGCTTGTCCAAATCTCCTTCTTCTGCTGCAATGTATTTTTCCCTAGCCTCATTCTCATAAAAGGCTGAGCCGTTTTGTGTGACATTTAAAAACAAATTATCCTGAGGTAGTCTCCCAGCATGGAAAATTTCAATACTAGCAGTTTTGGCAAAGTTATGAACTGAAAACAGGATCTTGTATTGAAAGTGCCTTAGCAGCCTTAGTACCAGAGTGTGCTACCCGTAGTGCTGACAATGTCAACTTCTTGTTAATTGGTTTTCACGCAAATCATCTTGCAAAATGCATTAGAGTTAACACAGATGTTATATAACCATATAATGGAGAATGAGCTAAATTAAAGTTAAATAGTCAAGATGGAAAAGAGATTTTTACCAACTATTTTAAATGTGGTGGAGATTCAATGAGACAGAAAGATCCAGGGAAGCAGTTTTGGATAGCTGGAGTTTCAGAAGAGATGGTTCTGGCATCTACAGTAGCCAGATTGTGTGGAGAGACAAAAAAGGCTTGTGCTAGATGAGGAGGAAGGGGAATAGAGGGATAATGTATAGGGAAAAAGCAGGAACAGCTTTTTGCAGGATTTTAAAAACAAGGAATCAGTAAGGGTCCAAGTGGGTAATCTGAATTGGACTTGCGCCTGCCACTTCATCCTGTGTGATATCCACTTCTTGATATCCTTTCACAGCACCTGCATCTTGACCCCCCTCATGATAGCCCCTCTTTTCCCCTTGTCTTTGTCAGTCCTAACATGAGCTTTCTGATAAAAGATGATGAAGTGTGGTCCATTAAGTGTGGGATGGGGAAGGGGAGGAATGGGAAGTCCTCAGGGTATTTTTGACTCTGGCTGTCCAGTCTGTCAGCGCAGTGCTTTTCATTAGGCTGTTTGTTTAATGTCATGACACTCGAAATCTCTGTGCAGAAACTTACAAAAGCAGTGATGAGTAAAAAATGTCCCAGATAGCAACATGGCCATGGGCAGAATCAGTGCAAGCAGGACTGTGCCCTGTGCTTGTTACTCATTTTATTTCAGTGGTTCCCTAATTTTAATTCCTTCCTTCCTGTTTGGTTAATGACATTTCTGTAACTTGAGGGTTGCTTGCCTTTTTATTTATTGCTTTCTTTATTGTCTGCTGCTTTGTCACACACCCTTTTTCATATTTAAAGCAACCTCATGCAATTAATTGCGTCACCCTCCTTATCAGACTGTCTAGAATTTTATATTTCATGCTGAGCAAGCGTTTAATAAAGGAAGCTGAGAAAAGCCTACATTATGAGGAAGTATCCAGCTACGTAGAGCTTAGATAAATAAATCTGTATGCTCTCGTGAGATGTTTATTTTCATGTAAATTGATGGCACTTGCTTACTTCTCAGATATGTCATGGTACAGAAGTAAAATTGTAGACAAGGGCCTTTGTTAAGCATGAATTGGAAAGTATGAAATTGTTTTGCAATAATTAGGCAACACATATAGTCATATCTTTTAAATGGTTACATCTGGCATCTTGTTTTCTCATTGCTTTAAAATCTGTTTAAGATTATTTAAAAGTTTAACATTTTAACAAATATTAGTGAACCGGCCAGAACTGAAAAGTGCAGTCTGACTTTAGTTGCTGGCTGCTTCGGTGTTTTTTCTACCACTCGTTATCTAACTATGGGTGTTTCCTTTATGCACGTGTGTCTAGTGGAACATGATCTGGATCAGATTGACTATATTGATAGCTGTGCCACGGAAGAGGAAGAGGAAGAGGTGAGGCAACCCAAGTGCATGGAGTCAGAGAGCCTCAGCTCACAGTTCATGGCATATATTGAACAACGGCGAATCTCTCATGAGGTGGTGCTTTTATTTAAATTAGTTTACATGCCCCAATGAAAGTCTTTGTGATAGTGGTAATATTACTTGTCTGTGGCAGTTTCCTTAGTAAACAATGTGACAGTTGGCTTGGAGCAACAAGCTTTGCCTGGTGGAAGATCTGAGTTTGAGTCCCGAGCTGTTACAAAGTACATGTGGCTTAAATGCCCAGAATGGTTCTCCAGGCAGCTGTATTGAATTCTGCTCAAAGGCAAAATTTTTGCAAGGTGTGGGGGGAGTAAATGGGGTTCAGACAGTACTGAAGTTGATACTTTTCCCATATGTGCTTTCATCCAGACAACCACTTGTGTTTCCTTCATTTGGTAATACCTAGTAGATGCTGGCTTGTTTAAAGTCAAAACATAGCTAATGTGTGGATCTCTGTCAGCACAAGAACTTATTATAGGAGTCTTTCATCTGTGCTAATTTCGTGGAACTTTCCTGTGTAGTGTAACTCAAATGCCAATACATTTACCAGATTGGCCATCCCTTTTAATTGTGCATTTTAAATGAAAATATAAAGTCTGGTATTTTGTAATAGATGATGGCTTGCTCCATGTTAACATCTTGAGTAATGCTCTGTAAAATCATTGGGGATACAAACTGGGAGTACATATGCACAAAGTTTTAAGCAAAAATTTTGTGTGTATGTGTGTGACGTGACATTTCTGAGTCAATCCCAGAATACAGTAAATGGACAATAAATATGGTTATTTAAAGCTTGTAAAAAACTTGTTAGAAGAATTGATTACAAGTGGTTAAAAACAAATATTAGCACTCTTAGTCTATAGCTTTTTTTTAATCTTAAAAACTAGTCTTTGTGCTGATTATTGCAGACAAACCTGAACAATGTATTTTTTGTTTCCATTCTTGAGTAGCCTGCTGTTTTAAAGGTAGTCTGTGGTATGTGAGCTGGAATGGCAGAGTTTAGAAATCTGAGTCATATCACTATTCCAGGAGTAGCATTTCAAGTTGCATTGTGGATCAGACCACAAGCATCTACTTCCTTAGAATGGGTCAGAGTGGTTCATGCAACTGCCACATAGTCTAGTATCATTTGTTACTAATAGCTGCTTTTACTCTTCTTGTCCTGGTTCCAAATGATAGCTTTGGGAGGATCATTGCCACATAGTTACAGTATAATTATCTTGAATCTTTGTTTATGTTTGGTCACAAGCTACTGAAAACAAAGTGGTGTGCAGTTGATCAAAATTCCATTATTACTTCTTTAACAATAATGTGTGACTCCCTGCAACTAGAAAACATCTCTGCTTCTGTTACATATAAGGCAAGAGAAGTTACAGACTAACGTGGCTACCCCTCTGATATCTTGCTGTGACAGACTGGACTGGGGTGGGCAAGAGATCCTCTGCAGGCCAGATCCAGGCCACCACACGGGTTGATCTGGCTCATGGACACCCTGCTGCTCCCCCACCTCCAGGCCGGTTTCCTCCCACTGCCAGGAGTACGGGCACCTAGAGGGAGCCACCAGCTGTTCAGGCTGTTCATGCGCTCCCTCATCCCCAGGCCGATAAGGGTCTGTGGGTTGGGAGCATTTAACTGTCCTGGCCCTGCCCCTTCTACCCGAGACCCTGCCCCTTCCAGGGCAGCCTATGGGCCCTTCAGAAGTTTCTGAAGTGGGCCCCCTTCTAAAATCATTGTCTGGACAGTAGGAAATGAAAAGTTGTGAAGTTTCTGGATAAAACAAAAATTTAATTCAGGAAATAATAAGCAATGTGACATTGCCTTCTCTTTCCATGCTAATCTAAATTCATCCATCTGTGTGTATGTGTAATGCTGCAGACACAACCTGTTTCAAATAATCTTCTATTTTGCTTGGAGCATGTAAGCAATGCACATTGTACTCACACTGAAATGTATCTGTCACTTCATAGGTTGTTTCAGTGTTTTGAAGAAGTAAACATCTTTCTTAATTTCCTTTTTTTTTGGTCAGTATCTCTGTGGGAGTCCTTTATTTTTGTCTGTTTTGTTATTCCTTTACTTACATTAGCGAAATTAGCAGTGACCCAGATTGCGATTGTCCATATATTGATTCTTCTTCAAGCGATGTCCCCGTGGGTGCTCCACTGTTGTGTTGGGTTGTCCCGGCGTCGCAGATCGGAGTTTTCATGAGCATTAGTCAGCCGGACTGCACGTGCATGGCTCGCACCTCGAGCTGTTCGTGCCTTTTGATCACGCATGTGGTCCTGCTCCCGCCAGTTCCTTCTTTGCCACCCACGATCACAGATGGAGCGAGCCCTCTCTCCTCAGACAATCTAGTCAGGAAATGAAAAATTACCTTAGTTCTTAGTGCCACATACACACTATCAAATCATGGGACAGTGATATTATTTGAAATGTAGATTGATAAATTAATTTTAAGAGCTGCTGGTTATTCAAAATAAACTTTTCTTCAAAATGAATAGTGGAAATGCTTTAGTTCATCCTAGAGATAAACCAACATGGGTATCATTTTAATTTATAAAATTAAATAAGCTATATATTTTTAATTCTAGCAGTAAAGCAACCAAAAGCATGTTAGATTCCACCCTCCGAAGTGAGATATTAATTTAAGGGATAAAAACTATATTCAGTGCAGCAGTGCACTCTTTGTGTATATTTGGTCTTCCCTCAGGGTATGTCTACACAGCAGTGTTTAACATAGTGCACATCTACACAACAAGCCTTTATTTCGAAATATTGTCGAGCTGGAGGACTTCTTACTCCCATTCACGGTAACCCTCATTTTACGAGGAGTAAGGGAAGTCGAAGGAAGAGTGTTCTTCCTTCAATTTCTTGCTATGTAGACTGCACCAAAAGCCAAATTAAGCTATTTAGACTTAAGCCAAGCAATTGACGTAGCTGAAGTTGCGTAGCTTAATTCGACTTTAGCCTTGCTTTGTAGATGTACCCTCTGTGAGGGGTGCTGGCTATGGGTTTGGATTAGATGACCAGGTGAGGTCTGTTCCAGGCCTACAGTTCTATGATTCAGTTAGAGCGTGTGTACTAGCAAGTTAGCCCTGAATATCTGTATTAGGCAGTACTGCTGGATATTGATGAGTTTTATAAAACTGATCCAGAAGGACAATATACTTCTGCTCCCAAAAGATGACTAACTTCATATCCAAAATGGAACAACCATTGTTTTCATTCAAATCCTCTGACTTTTTCTTCACATTTAGGGTTTCCAGGTGTCCGGTATAGACCTGGACAGTCCTGTATTTTCGCCTCCTGTCTGCTAAAAAAGAAAATTCAGAACAAATACTGGACACCTAAAATGTCCGGTATTTTCTGATTTTTTTTCCCTCCTGCCAGGAGGCAAAAATACTGAACACCTGGGAACCCTATGACACACTCAGCAACTGGGCCCAGCCCCCGGATCCGCTACCAGGCCCCCCAGATGTCCCCCCAACCCTGGTACCTGGTTCCACAGAGGCTTGTCTTGTGGCTGCAGCAGAAAAACAAAATGGCCATCAGCAAAAAAAACGTTTCTTAAAGGGGCTGTCCCTTTTTTTTTTGTTCAACAACTGTGGTCCCCTCCCCTCCTTATTTTTTCCTCAACAGAATTTTTTTCCAGTGTAAAATGGTGGACAGCCGCCGGAAGCTTATGAGGGCCAAAAAGCCTCAAAAGTGTTTCTTAAAGGGGCCACACTGTTTGTTTGTTTGTTTATTTATTTGCTTAACAGCTCTCAGAGCCCCTTTTTTCCCCCCCTCATCAACAAGTTTGGTCTCCCCTTTTTTTCTCTCAAAAGAATTTTTTCCCCAGCGGTGTGTTTTGGGTTTTTTTGGGAGGGGGTGGGAGGAGTGTTCAGTATTTTTGGATAAACCATCTGGCAACCCTTCCTGTTTAACATTATCCTTCCTGTTTCTCTATATGATACCATCACAGAACACCAGCTGCTGAATCTTATTGTTCTGAGAGAGCCTAGAATACACTATGCTAGAACAGTAGATGTGTACTTTGGTCTCCAACACCATGCATCTTATAAGTAGGGATGCAAAGGTTTAACTGGTTAACTAATAAGCACTGCCTTACCAGCATGTTTACTGGAGTAACCAGTGCCCGGCCGACCGGAGCAGCCCCCTGCCCATACTGTGGTGCAATGAGCCCTTCCAGGAGTAGCCAGAGCAGCCTGCCCCCCCCTTCCTGCTTCCCCATCCCCCCACCCA